GACTACCGAAAAGCTGCACTTTCACTGTTGTTGTTGTTGTTGCTGCTTGCTGAACCCCTTATTGCACCAAAATCAAAATGAAAAGAAACTAAACAAGCCTATCAGCTATGAGTGACAAGATTCCTATCTATAAGCCTTATGAAGCTTGATCTTGAGTCTTGGCTGGTTCTTCACACGTACTCTGATATGAATTTTGATGCTTGCTAGATGTAGGTGCTAGTTCATTCTTCTTCCGCTTTTATGGATCAAGACGGGACGTGTAAAGCTTGTGACTTCAGTCCTGTCTTGAGCGATCCACATCTTTTCTCCGCTTCTGCACTTTGGATTCATTTCTTTTCTTATTATTTTCTTTATTTTGGATTGAGACTTCTTTTTGGTTATTCCGAACCCTGTGCCTCGAGGTAAAAACTTGCTCAGACACCAAAACAAAACAAACAAACGAAATTTTTCTGCCCTGTTTTCACTAGGAAAATTTCGTGAGTTATTTGTAACAAAAATCTATACTACTTCATTATTGAAAGCAATGAAAGGTCAGGATTAGTGTACCCTGAGCAAACAGAGACTTGGAGTGGAGACCCTATGTCTAAAATGAAACCAACTAGGGAGTGGAGACCCTATGTTGGAAAAATGACTAGGGAGTGGAGAATCTATGTCTAAAATAAAAATAAACTGGGGAGTGGAGACCCTATGTTGGAAAAGAGAATAGGGAGTGGAGACCCTATGTTGGAAAAGAGAATAGGGAGTGGAGACCCTATGTCCAAAATAACATCAACTAGGGAGTGGAGACCCTATGTTGAAAAAGCGATTAGGGAATGAAGAACCTATGTCTAAAGTAAACATCAACTAGGGAGTGGAGACCCTATGTTGGAAAAGGAGACTAGGGAGTGGAGACCCTATGTCTAAAATAACTTCAACTAGGGAGTGGAGACCCTATGTTGGAAAATATAGCTAGGGATTGGAGACCCTATACTACCATGATTTTGAACTTTCTTTCTTTTTCTTTTTCTTTTATTAAGAAAATGAGTAAAATATGGGCAAGAACTTGGAGAAGACTTCCCTTTTGTGGTTGTTGCCGTAGAGCTATTTTAGTCTCCGCGTGGTTTCTTTTTGATTTCACCTGCTTCTTGCAAGGTTGCTTTGGATTGCACCTATTTCCTGTTTTTCAAATAAAGAATCAGTTTGAAACGGTGGTTGGTTTTGCGGCTTGAGTGTTTTAGTCACTTGATCTTGGCCGGCTTCTATGATGACGCTTTCAACTGCAACTGGTTGTTTCCTAGAGATCGAGTTAACCTTTTTCAACTTTATTTTGCCTTTGTGGGCATTTGACTTTAATTTTCTTCTTTCAAGAGTTTTTGATTTTGAAACATCGGCCATCGTGGCCAGTCGGAGTCGACTCAACGCACCTGCTTAGGCTGGATGCCTTCTTGAATATTAGCTTGTATCAGACAAAAGCCTTGTAAATCAATCCTGCCATCCCTTATTCGCCTCAGCTTTGGAACAGAGTTAGACCGAAAGAGATTCAAAAAAACATACAATGAAGGCGGTGCATGAATAAGGTCACCGTGTATCTGACACTTATGGCACTTCCGGACAAAACTGAAGCAATCCTTTTCCATGGTCATCCAGTAATAACCTGCTCGAAGGATTTTCTTGCAAGGACATATCCGTTCATGTGAGGCCCACATACTCCCAAATGCACTTCGTCCATGATTGTTTCAGCTTCTCGGGCATCTACGCACCCCCAAACGATTCAAATCTAGAGTTATTTTGTACAAGACCTCTCTGCTCAAAAAGAAACTGCTGGCAAGCCTTCTGATAGTTCTCTTTTGATCTCCACTGGCCCGCTCGGGATATTCCTTTATTTTCAAAAACCTTTTGATATTATGATACCATGGCTGAACATCTGGTTCTATTTCAATTGCATTACAATAACCATGCATTTCTCGGCTTTGGATTTCTAGTGGGTCAATATAGACATTGCCCAGATACGGCAGCATGGAAGCCAAAGTAGCTAATGCGTCTGCTAGCTTATTGCGAAATCGAGGAATATACCCGAACTCGACAGACTTGAACCGTTTACTAAGATCTTCCACATGTTGCCTGTATGGGATGAGTTTTATGTCTTGAGTTTCCCATTCACCATTGGCTTGCATAATGATTAAGTCAGAATTAAAAATTCCTCTACATCCAGATCAACTGCCATGTTCATGCCCATAATGCAAGCTTCATACTCAGCGGTGTTGTATGTATAGAAGACATGAAGTCGGGTCGTGGCCGGATAGTGCTGACCAATGGGCGATATCAAAATTGCTCCAATCCCGACCCCTTTTGAATTTACAGCTCCATCAAAGAACATTTTCCAAGCATTGGTGTCCTCTGGAATTACTTCAACTGAATTTACTTCCTCGTCTGGGAAATAAGTGCTCAGGGTTTGGTATTCATCATCGACCGGGTTCTCCTCTAGTTAATCATCCAAGGCTTGGGCTTTCATTGTCGTGCGGGTGACATAGACAATGTCGAACTTAGTGAGCAGGATTTGCCATTTTGTTAGCCTTCCCATGGGCATTGGTTTTTGGAATATGTACTTAAAAGGATCCATTCTTGTTATGAGATATGTGGTGTAGGCCAACAGATAACGTCTGAGCTTCTGGGCGACCAAGTTAGGGCTCAACAAGTTCTTTCCAACAATGTGTACTTGGCTTCATAACTGGTGAACTTCTTGCTCAGGTAGTATATGGCTTGCACTCTCTTCCCGCACATCATGTTGCCTGAGGACACAGCCGAAAGAATTTTCCAAGACTTTCAGATACAAGAATAAAGTCTTCCCGGCTCAAGCGGGACCAACACTGGCAGATTTGACAAATATTCTTTGATTTTATCAAAAGCTTCTTAACAATCATCTGTCCATCTGATTGCAGCGTCTTTCTTTAATAGTTTGAATATGGGATCACAAGTGGTTGTGAGCTGAGAGATGAATCTGGTGATGTAATTCAATCTTCCTAGAAGACTCATGACCTCTTTCTTGGTTATCGGAGGAGGCAAATCCCGAATGGACTTTATCTTTGTTGGATATAACTCGATGCCCCTCCGGCTGACTATAAATCTGAGGAGTTTCCTAGATGGAACTCCGAATGCACATTTAGCTGGGTTCAATTTCAAATCATACTTGCACAGACGCTCAAAGAACTTTCTCAAATCCCGCACATGGTCTTCCTGTGTTCTAGATTTAATGATCACATAATCCACATACACCTCAATTTCCTGGTGCATCATGTCATCGAAAATGGCAGTCATAGCTCTCATGTAGGTCGCCCCAACATTTTTCAAACCAAATGGCATAACCCTGTAATAGTAAGTGCCCCAAGGTGTGGTGAAAGCCGTCTTTTTTGCGTCTTCATCATCCATCAGAACCTGGTGATATCCGGAATAGCAATCTACGAAAGACTGTATCTCATGTTTGGCACAGTTATCAACAAGAATGTGGATTTTTGGCAATTGAAAGTTGTCCTTGGGGCTTGTCTTGTTCAAATCCTGATAATCAACACACACTCGGGTTTTCCCGTCTTTTTTCGACACTAGGACCACACTAGCCAACCATTTGGTGTATCGGACCACTCGGATCACACCAGCTTTCAATTGTTTGGTGACTTCTTCTTTGATCTTATCATTGATGTCTGTTTTAAACTTTCTTTTCTTTTGTTGGACAGGTGGATAACCGGGATAAGTTGGCAATTTATGTACCACCAAATCAACACTCTTCCCTAACATATCATCATAGGACCATGCAAACACATCTTTGAATTCAAACAAAAGTTGGATCAATGCATCCCTAGTTCTTTCATCGACGTGAATGCTTATCATGGTTTCTCGTACCTCTTCCGGACTGCCCAAATTAACTGGGTCGGTTTCATTTAGGTTTGGCTTAGTCTTATTCTCAAGTTGTTCCAATTCTCGATTTATTTCCCTAAAAGCCTCATCTGCATCATATTTTGGTTCCTGATTCATTATTTCACTGTTAGATAGCGTTTTAGGATATGGGCATGAAGTCCGTAAGCATGTCATGTTATTTAAGTCTGCATAATTAGAATTGAAAAGAAAAAGATAAGAAAAATAGCAAAATCAGAATAAAGAAAAGGAGACATCCATTGATGATGAAATATTGATTCCATTTCGCTAAATTAAAAATATGAGGATTTATCAAAAATCAAAGATAATAAAATAAAAACATTTGAGTTACACCCTGGAATAACTCGTAATGTAGCAGAGATGGCAAGACTGGACTACCGGGACTCCCGTCTGACAGGGAATGGGGTAGCTTTCTAATTCTGAAGCTTGGCATCTGGTCCCATGTACAGCACCTCGGCATTGCTCGTGCCTTCCCTGGGCTGAACCGTGTGAGACTCATACAACATTTGTTTCATGACTTCACAAATATCGTCAATCTCTTCGATCGTGAATGCCTCTTCTTCTTCTACCTCATATTTAGGTTTGACAAATGACCGGGCGAGATGTGGAATGGGTTGGGGAAGGACCCACCCATTTTCTTTGCGCTCATCAGCCTATTTTTTGTCGGCATCTGTAGCTTGGAAACCTATGCCGAAGAACTTCTCATTGGCGATCGAAGTGATAGGCTCTGTGATGCCTTGTAGAGATTCCCCGAGCCCCATTCTGGGCTTGTATCCATGTTTAATCATTTCAGTGGTGACCATGACCAAGGCATTAGATAAGCAAGGTTGAGGAAACGGGTCCCCTTCTTCGCATTGGTCGGCGACCATAATTTCGAAGGCTTGGTATACAATGTGCTCACTTCCTTCTCTAGCTTCGAGACACGAGACTGAAGGGTCCCTGTAAATGGACTGTTCATCCTCCCCATAGACAACAAGTTGTTGGTTTTCATATCCAAATTTGACCATTTGGTGGAGAGTGGAGGGCACAACTCCTGCAGCATGAATCTATGGTCTTCCTAGGAGAAAATTGTACGAGGTGTCCATGTCCAAAACCTAGATAGTCACTTCGAAATCCACGGGGCCAATGATCAAAATCAAATCGATTTCCCCTATTGTGTCTCGCTTGACACCATTAAAAGCGCGCACACAGACATTGTTTGGTCGGATTCTTTCTGTTCCAATCTCCATCCTCTGGAGCGTTGAGAGAGGGCAAATGTCAACCCTGGAACCACCATCTAGAACGACTCTCTTTACATAATAGCCCTCATATTTGACAATCAGGTGAAGGGCTTTGTTGTCGGCGGCTCCCTCTGGGGGCAAATCATCGTGGCTGAAAGAAATCCTATTGACCTCAAAGAATCGTTCAGCCATTCTCTCCAATTGTTCATTTGAAGTTTCAACTGGGACATATGCCTCGTTCAATGTTTTCAAGAGTACCTTCTGATGTTCATTCGAGCTCAACAACAGAGATAAAAGCGAGACCTGGGAAGGAGTCTACCGGAGTTGGTCAACTAGTGCATATTCCGAAGCTTTCATTTTTCAGAAAAACTCTTCTACTTCCTCAGTACTCACAGGATTCTTGGGTGGCAACCGTTTATCCTTGTTTAGTTTTGATTTCTTTAACTCTTCTGGATTGTGGTACTTCCCAGATTGATTCATTTCGTTCACCTCTCCCATGACCTCTTTCCCCTTGTAAGTAACTACTGTTCTGTTGTAATTCCAGGGGACTGCGGTAGGGTTCTATAGTGCGCGGCTGATAACCACAGGCTCAGTCAGCCTTGGTAGAATTACCGGCCCCCGCGCCACATAGCTCCCTTTTGGCACATACAACTTCGGCACATTCAACATGGCTTTCCTTTGCTCGAATCTTTTGGGAGTGTTCAAAATGAGTTGTTCTTTTCTTAGGGCCTTAGGGACATAAAGAATCGCATTCTTAATAGGTGCTTCCCTAGTTTTTGTTTCTACAACTTTTCCAACAGCTTGAGGAATTGGAATGACTTTCTTCTCAATTTTGGTTTGTTTCACCGCCGCTTTGGGTCTTGCTTCTGAATAGGCGATGGCGATGATGGCTTTCAAGGCTGGTTTGAATTCCTTGTCATCCCAAATCATTCCAATGGTCGGCCCATCATTTTGAGCCGGTAACGGATTGTTACTCACATTAGGGACTTCCTCGTCCCTCACCACCACTCGTTTTTGTTCTATCAAATTTTCAACAGCCCTCTTCAGGGTCCAACAATCCTCCGTATCATGACCCTTTGCTCCTGAATGGTAGGCACACCTGGTACTGGGTCGGTATGATGAGGATTCAGGATTTTGCCGGTTTGGGGGTACAGGTTGCAATAGACCCATTTGGATTAGCTTCGAAAATAGGCTAGAGTAGGATTCACCAACATGGATGAAGTTGTTTCTCCTGGGAGGCTCACGAGGGCGTAAATTATGTTGGTAGTTGTTTGGCGGTGGACGGGGGTTATATGGAGCTATGTGAGGATGGTTATTTCTGGGAGATGGATCTCGGGCTTGGTTGTAGTGTTGTTGTGGCCGTGTATAGGGTTGAGCATTCATCATCGCATAATGAGGCAGTGCCACGGCATAAGCAGCATCTTGGTGGGGATAGTAGTGTTGCGGGGTTCTGGGCGTCATGTAGGAATGATCATATGATCGACGGGGCCCTCTTGAACCTGAAGCCAGCATGGCTCTTTCCTCCCTCTTCTTTCGATTGGCCAAACCCCCCGAGCCATTCTGGATGGCTTGGGAGGTGGAACGCAAAGCAGATTGACTTAATATTCCGCCAGTTTTCAGATCATTTTCTACCATTTCTCTAATTTTTATTGCCTCTGCAAAATGTTTATCCATGGCGGACATCATATTCTCAAAATAATCGGCCTCCTGGGCCTGTAAGAAGACCTCAACCATTTCGGTTTCATCCATGGGAGGCTTTACTCTGGCTGCCTGCTCACGCCGTTTAATAGCATATTCGCGGAAGCTCTAAGTGGTTTTCTTCTTCCAATTAGACAGGGAGTTCCTGTCCAGAGCTATGTCAACATTATACTGAAATTGTCTGACGAAATTGCGGGCCAAATCGTCCCATATGTACTAGTGGGAGATTTCCCGGTCCATGTACCATTCTAAAGCGATTCTAGTCAGGCTTTCCCCAAAATAAGCCATCAATAATTCTTCTTTACCACCAGCACCCCTCAGCTGGTTACAGTATCATTTCAGATGAGCGATCGGGTCTACGTGCCTATCGTACTTTTCACATTTTGGCGTTTTGAAGCCAGCAGGCAAATGAACATGGGAAAACATACACAGGTCGGAGTACGAGACGCTCTTTTGGCCACTCAGCCCTTGCATGCTTTTCAGGCTTTGTTCTAGGCTTCTTATCTTCCGAGCCATTTCTTCCTGCTCGAGGTTTCTCATTGTTCTTTCATGTTCCATTTGAGACTCATATTGCGGGTGCTAAGGATAAGAGTTTGGGGTAACATGAGTTGTGTCTAGGTGAAATTGTGGGCCTTGAAAAGTGAAAGATGAAGGTTCGAAAGCATGGCCTGGGCACTGTTGGTTGTGCCGTAGTAGAGACTGGTGGTGCGGTGAACAATGTAGAAGGTACCCCTAAAAATGGTGCTTGGGGCGGACCTCAAAAGGCATACCGGTAAAGTTGGCTGATATAGTGGGTTACTCAAACGGGACGAATGGGTTGGTTAAGGGGGATGGGGGGACGTGGGTGGTTCTACCCGTCCTGGGGAGCAGTTTAGGAAATCCGGGGATTGTACTAGGTGGTTCTTTGCCATTGGACCAGGCGTCCCACATCTCCAATATGCGGACGCGCAACCTCCTGTTTTCTTCAGCAGCTGCTGATTCTGGCGCTGGAATAGCCGATACCGGGCTATCCTCAGGATCGATAATTGGTAGATGACTTTCGGAGGCCATAGGAACACTGCCTTTAGATCTTGTGAAGTAAGGATGGGAAGCCAGATTACCAACAAAACCAACTACCTAAACAGGACCTGTCTGATCGATAATTGGTAGATGACTTTCGGAGGCCATAGGAACACTGCCTTTAGATCTTGTGAAGTAAGGATGGGAAGCCAGATTACCAACAAAACCAACTACCTAAACAGGACCTGTCTTATTTTGCACACATAACAACCTTGTCAGTTTGAGACATTTAACAGATAGGGAATCGCATATTGGGGATACAATGCACCTGAATAGTTAAACGTTTCTAAATATTTTTGCAACGGCCATGTGTTTCATCCCGGCTTTCACTATCTCTCTTCTCAAATTTCAAATCCTAATTTCTTTTTCCTTCTCTTTTTGCTGTTTTTCGCTCTTTTATTTTTCACTCTTTTCTTTCTTTTTCACTCAATTTTCTCTTTTCTTTCTTCTTTTTTTGGGTTTATTTTTCACTCAAATTATTTATAGCTATGATCGAATCTGATGGGGATTGCCTACGTATCATAACACCGCATGAATCATACCATTACGTAGTTCAGGGGATAAATGCGAAATAAAAGAAAAGAAAGTTTTTGGGTTTTTCAATATTTCATTAATAAAAAACTTTTTTTGGGGTTTTTTATATTGCAAAGACGCGAAAATACTGATGACTAAAAAAACATACAGACTCAAAAATAGAACAACAGACAGACTTGAAAAAAACGAACAGACTCGAGGAAAAGTAGAATACAAACTCAAAGCCGAAAAAGTCAAGAATACATAAGGGCCTCCAATGATACTCCGGGGGCCCGCCGGACATCAGTCGGTCTCGACACGGGCCTGCGTGCAATCTCTTCTTGAAGGTACTCTAAATCAACCATCACCTGACGGACAAAGGTCATCACAGAAGCAAAGAATATAGATCTGGTTATGTCTTCACATTCATGGCATTTCATTGCAACATAATCAGTTATTTCTTTAATACTCATTCTAATGACACCCTTTTCTTGAAGCAAACGCACAATTTGCTGTGCACGGGCCTCCAGCACCTGTGTGGCCGTGTTGTCTTGGTCTTGCAACTTCTGCACGCTCTTTTCTAATCGGTAAATCAAGGCATACAGTGTTCTCTTTCTGTTTTGAAGTCTTTTGTTTGCTGAAACATTTCATTTTAGAGATTAGTCAGCTTTTCCCTTAAGATCGTGACCCCTTTATCATACTTTTGCTTAAACTGCTGAACAAACCTTGTCCGTTCTTCTGTACCTTTGCCAACTTTGCCCGAGCTTTTGCCAATTCTTCCTCAGCCTTTGTCAGATCAAACCCATAATCATGCACTTTTCGCCTCAGATTGCTTTTGAGTCTTTCATCTTTTTCACTTCTTACCGGGGTTTCAGCGGCTATTTTCATTTTTCGAATCTGATCTCGGAGGGCTTCATTTTCCCAAGCCAAACGTTTCTTTTCTCCTTCATCCTCGGCAGCCTACAAACTACTGTAAAATTTGAGGTTTCTGATTTGATCTTCTAGCTTGCCTATGGTGGTCCGGTATTCCTTCTCTTTAGCTAACCAAACACACTATTCTTACGCTCCATCGGTGAATTATTGGACATGGGGCCTTTTGGCGGGCTGTTTTGGCCCTTGATTGACCCAAACTCTCTTACCATACCAGGTCGTGTAGTTAGATTCGACTTTAACAGAGGACAAATCCCGCACCTGAGTCTGTGGCTCCAAACACCTACATTGGTGCCAAATTTGGCGAACCTTTTATTTTGGGAATGCGGCCTTTAGGCATAGTTTGATATGTGGACTCAGAAGTTCGTCGTGAGGTACTATTTGATACCTTCCCAATTAGCATAGGACCCGATGCGGAGCATATGGCTGAATACTCCGAAGACCCATCAGTAAGAGAAAACACACTTCGGCGGACCTGTAAATAACCTCGTTGATCGGGAGCCAACTGAAAGTCCACTAAATTTGCTTTGCGGTCAAAGAACCCAAATATGCGAACCTTGCTTCAATACCCTCCGGCAACTTATAGCTGTTTACCTGGTTTCCGTATTTTTCAATGCAATTGAGTCCGGTCAATCCGTAGTTCATGTACCTCGGGCGATGATAGAGACGTTCCACTAGCCATATTTTCAAAAGCAGGTTGCAACCCTCAAAGAACATTGCACCAGCTTGACAGGCGGTTAAAGCACGATAGATTTCTGCGAGAATCATTGGTATAAGAGTATCGTTGGCCTTTTTGACCATAAAGTCAGCCATTCCTGCGAGTCCCAGTTCTATGTGCCCGTCACTCCTTGGGCATATCAGAGTGCCTAAAAATGCAACTACGAAGGCTAAAACCTCTGCGTGCTTCCCACTTGTTTTTCTTTCCCTGATGACTCAAACCGGTGTCCGGAGCCTCAAATTTGCGGAGTCCCCATACCAACTATATAAGAAGTGGAATGTGTAGAATCCTCCGGCCAAATTTTCATCTTTAACCTGCCAGCTAATACTCAGAAGGTCCAAAAAATTATGAGGGGTTACAGTTCTTGGTGCTACTAGATTTTGGTGCCTGAGATTCCCATCAAGACCAGTGTAACATGCCATCTCCTCTAGCATAGGGGTCAATTCAAAGTCAAAGAAGTGGAAAACATTGTGTGTCGGGTCCCAAAACGATATCAAAGCTTCAATTATATCAACCCTGGTTTAATCTTCAGAAGACCGGTGAGCCCACCTAAAGCTTTAGTCACAGAATTCTTGCTGACCTCCCCAGGTAGTTCCACCACATGTGTAGTCTTAGTGGAATCTCATCTACGACTCGAAAAGATATATTCTCAATGGTGCTCATTCTGCACATTTCTAAATTAGGGTGACTGCTTAAAACATGTGAATTTTATTAAAACACTAACCATGAAAAGACTATTTATTGCAAAATCTAACTTAAAATAAATCATGGCTACTTTTGCAAATACGGCCCTTCAGCACTTCAGAAGGGAAGATTTTAGGGCTGTGCCTGCTAAGTGGCCTAAAATTGGAAAGAGGGCCCAAGGTGGCTATTCTTGCAAAAACGGCCTTCTGGCGCCCCATCGGAACATTTATGGCTATGTTGGACAAAAACGGCATCACCCGACTTTATTTATGACAAAATGACAACATTTTCATATTTTGGCCTATTTTTGCAAAAGCGGGGCTGAACCTGATGAAGGTTGCCTATGTATCCCACGTTCGGTTGGAATCTAACCCGCATAATTCAGTAAGTTTTGATGCAACAGCAAAATATGACTTATTTTGAAATAACCTTTCTTTTTTTTTTCTTCAAAATTTTGATAAAGTTTCGGGATATTTTGAATACCGGGATTTTCAGAAACGGGTGATTTTCTCTCTCCTACCTCATTCTTGGTTTTTCTTGACTTTCTTTCCCTATTCTAGAACCCGGTCAACATGCAAGCCGAAGCAAATAAATATACAAGTAATTCGTAAAATGCATAAGGATGGTCTTTTAATTTTTGGGGTACACCTATCCTAGACGGACCAACCCCTATGTTGACTCCCCAAAGTCAAATGCACGTGATGCAAACAAACGTACCTACTAGGTATTCCGCATGAGGCTATGTCATATTTTAAGTTTAAAACATGGGTGTATTTTTCTAGACCTGGCTTACCCGAGCGGACAACTCGAGCCCGGGGGGAGGGGGGCAGCGTACTGGGAATACAGAAGCTTTACCGGCTTTGCAACTTGTTCGAGCCTCGTTATAATATTGGGGTATGACTCTAACAGAAAAATAAGCCATGCGAAGCGCACGCTTCCCAGAAGATTTAGAAGACTCAAAGAGAAGAAGGATTTCGTAACAGTTTTATATACAGTTCACGGCAATATCAAAGCGGTAAAAAGCAGCATTTAGCAAATTAGGCTCAAACAGGTAAAAAATCAGACAATCATGAAAGCCAAGCATAAGAATTATTCTAAGCTCGAATTCTGAACCCTGAACCAGACATTCTGGGTTCGTTCCCCAGCAAAGTCGCCAGAGCTGTCACACCTTTTTTTTCCCGAAGGGATAGGGAGTTTTTCCAATTTAAGTGATATTATTCGAAATGGAATTATTTATTAGTTTAGAGACGCCACTTGGGATAATTATTTTGGTGTCCCAAGTCACCGGTTTATTTTAGATCCCAAATCGAGGAGATTTTGACTTTGTTCTAAAGTCCGCAAAACCAAAAGACCGGATAAGGAATTCTGTTAACCCGGAAGAAGGTGTGAGGCACTCCCGAGTTCCGTGGTTTTAGCACGGTCGCTCAACTATTAATAATTGGCCTAATCATCTGATTTATTATATGTTTAAAACATATTGAGCATTTTAAAATTCTAACCGCTTTTAAATTATTTCAATCACTTTTAGTATTTATGAAATTTGTTTGAACAAGTCGCGATGTCGCGCACTCGTTTGTTTTTGTACACATTGAGAATCACGCCACGTGAAACGTGTTGACACCCAATTTTTTCCTCATAATTTTAAATTGTATATATACTGTCAAAATAGTATATTTGCATCATTATTTAATTTATAAAATTTATGTAAGCGTTTTCCATAATTTTTAGAGCTTTAAATTAATTTTCTTGCACTTTAATATCTAGTAATTATCCTTTAAATTATCTTGTGACGACTTGGTTACATAAAATACTTATTTTGCACCTACAATATATGTTTCAAACATTTTATTTCATTACATGTAATTACACTAGCATATTTAAGCTATTTTGTCTAATTTTGCAATAATGGCCTATATTCACACAATTGCCCTCTATTTTATATTATTTTGTGCCAAAATAGCATATTTATATTTTCATAACACAAATTATTATTTTAAACATTTCAGGGTGTAAATAATTTTTTATTTTATTTATTAAGTATTTTTATAAATCATTTTTGATGAATTTTTGGGTATTTAAATAATAGCCCAAATTTTGTCTATTTTCGGACCCAAACTACCCAAATCTCTGGCCCAACCCCCTAAGC